TAGAAGTTGCAGCTTTTTTGCTGACTTAAGTAGTTGAATGCCATGAAGCTGGTGAAAGGGCTGGATAAAACTAAACACATGGCTGCATGGAAAAGCTTGGGAGCATTGGTGGCCAACATTGTGGATTGCTGGAGTGGCATTGGGGACCTAGGTTTGTGAGCTTTCTCTGCGCTTCTGAGAGCTGAGGCTGTATGGCTTTAGAAGCCATTTAAAGCACAGCCTTTTTGAGATGCAGCTTCCAAAAGCTTTATGCTTATCGAAGGAGTGTTTAAAATAAATGGCAGAAACATATTCTCTACCTGCCCATCTCTGTGCCTTCTCCATGAGGCTTTACATTTAGGCTCCTTGTGTTGGTCTATCTCTGCCCCAGTGAGCCCCAAATTATTTTTCAGAACAGTGAAACGACATCAAGGGAAGGAGCAGGAAGAGGGTCCCTGCTAGGGCAGTCTGGAGCCTGGTTATTGGAGTCCTCTCCAAGGGAGACTCAGATCTAAGGAAGAAAAATTAGTTTGCTGGGCTGCTAAAAAGGAGACAGGAGAAAGGAGGGCTGCTCTCAGTCTGTCTGGTGTTATCTGAAGAGAAAGCGTTACCTGCCATTCTGTCTGTGAATAATCCAATTCTCTTAGTTTCTGTTTGAGCAAGTTTCAAAAACCCCTTTTTTGATGGGCTCTTTCAGGAAAGTAGGTAAGGGGAAGTACGGTTATTCCACATCAAATTAACCAGGCCTAGAGCTCCTTGAGTGCTGCTGCAAATAGTTCATTTTGGTGCATGTGCTGAAAGTGAACTTTCAGAGATGTGTGTTTTTGTGGTCAAAATGTTGTGGTGTGGATGGATTTTCGGTGCCCCCTTCCCAGCACCAACAGAGCAGCTCAAGCCACTGGGAAGTCCAGGTTGGAGCCATCTTTCAGAGCCAGTAGACTCCAAGCATTTTGGTGCTGATGTACCTCTCAGGATAGAGCTGCAAAGGACATACAACCACATCTCTGCCCCAGCCAAAGCACTTTTAAATTGTGCGGTGTTTCCAGCAGGGCATGTCCTGTGAATGTGCTGTTTGTTGGGGTGTATTTGATAGGCAAGGAGCTCATCAGTCTTACTCAGGACAATACTAAGAATGTCTGGAGTAGCTGTAATGGAAAAAAGGCATGTGAGACCTCTGTCCATCAGCTGCTGGAGTTATGGGTTCTTGCACAGATCCACGAGGTAAGGCGGTAAGGCGTTGTCTTCACTGTGACTCTGAGCAGAAACAGTGTTCAGTTTCATGCTTATCTCAGAGTCATTTTGGGCCATCAGCTCAGACAGGACTGATGGCGAGGGTACAAGCGAGTGCAAGCAGCAGACAGGCCCCGCACATTTCCCATCTGGAGGGTGGTGCTGCAGTGCGAGCACACTGGAGCTGAGCAGTCCTTCATTCCCCTGGGGGCATGGGGCAGAGAGCCACTGGTTTGCCATTTTATAGCTCTTCTGGCATTCCCCTTCAGTTTCAGCCGTATTAGAAGTTGTTCTATTTTAAATTGTTTTTAAAATTGCTTTTAAGCTAAGCCAGTACCAGACAGTGTGGGCTGACACTTCAGTGTTGGTCAGGCATGTGTACTGAATCCAGCCAAAGGATGCTTGACTCAGATGAAGTGTGCTCACCCTTTTCCATGCGCATTTAACTCTGTGAGTAAAAGCATACAACCACCAGCTCAGCGGCAGCCCGAGGCATGCACACACCTCTTAACACCCTGATCAGGAAGATCCAAATCCCCTGTTTCCTTGGGGCCGTGCTTTGAAGGACTTTTGAAACATTGCTCAGCCTAAGACAAGATGTTCACCTGTCACAGGAGCAAAGCAGTGTGTGCGTTCCTGAGCGTGGAGAGGTAGCATGGTAAGTGACTAATGAGACTTGTCTTCCCTACCTGTATTTATAATGTAAACAGGACACTCCAGTTCCCTAGTCCCAAGCACCACCACTTCTGACTCTCGCGCTCGACAGGGTTATGATGCTAGGGGACGCATGCTGGATTGGAAGGATCCACTTGGTTCATCTGAAAATACAGATCCATATGTGGCAGTTTCATCCCATAATCATCAAGACAAGAAGGGTAAGGCCTTGGAAATGACATCCTGTGGTGAGGAGGGAGGCGGGGGGAGGACTAAAGTGTAACTGCTTCCAGCTGGCTCGGAGTAACATGTAATGAAACTCCTGTGCTATAATTAAAAGCTTATCATAAAGCCTGAAACTAAACAGCCAATCTCAGACTCAGTCCTAGGTAATTCACTGCCAGAGGAAACCACACAAAACAAACAGAAGTGTATGCGTTTGCAGACTGTGTACGGGAAGGAGCGAAACAGTGAGGATTTAGCTCTCTTTAAACTTGATCTGCCCTGTTCTCTGGGAGAGGAAGATCAGTGGCTTCCCATTGTTCTTAAGGGTGCAGTTTTATATTGCCTTTTTGTCTGAATTCCCAGGGCAGCACAGCAGATCTCAGCTAGTTTCACGATATTTCTGTTACTTGATGACGGAGATACTGAAGGTCTGCTCTAGTTTAACCACTGAAGTAAAACTGGCAGTAGTCCTAGCCACTGGGCCTAAGTCCTGCCATCTCCAGTGAGACCTGAGCATCAAATACCTTCGAGAGTGTGGGCTGATGAGGTCATTAGCATTTTTTAAAAGATGCGGAGGTGACTGCTGGTGGGGAGAGACTCTGTGTTGCATTTTTAAAGCACCAAAAAGTTAGGATTTAAGTGTCATTTCACAGTGTTCAGCCCTGTGCTGAAGCACGCTTGGTCTACTACAAGTGGCAGCTCTGTCCTTTGGTGTCCAGTCCCTCTTTGCCATACATACAGAGAATTAGGCAGAGAATTGCCTAGATTTGCCACTTGAACATACTTAGAGGAGAAGATTTTCTCCTGTGTAAGAATGGTGGTGACCCCTCATTCCATCTTGGCCCTCCGTCATTCTCCCAGTTCCTTTCAATCTGTGTCTCAAAGAGGTTAAAATTATTCCTTTGTAAACAGGGGACTTAGGTTCAAATAGCTCCACTATCTAAAGAGATCTGAGTCCTTGTTACTCTTCTCCAGGGCGCTCTTAGATTGCTACTTTCAATCTCTGTTGAAGACGTTTCACTCTGTATGGACTAATTAAGTACACAGTGGGCCAGAAGGAGGATGGATGTGAGCAAAACTCACTTACTGAGTGGTAAGGGCACTCACCAGGGGCAAGAACACACATGAGGTTTAGTCCATTCTGCTATGAATACTTGATATAAAACACTTAAAATATTAATTGAAATGTGGATTCCAGTCTGTATTGTTCATGCATTTTACATGAAAAACTCATTAGACAAAAGCATCAGCTGTTCCTGGAGAAGCTACTGGCATGCCAGACCTGCTGCTTTGCATTGTCTGCCTAAACTAGTAGGTTATTAAATCATATTCCTTCCCCTCCATCTGACCCAGTGAATCTTGAATTCTCTGCATTGGCTGTGGAGCCTTGAAGCGGGGGATGATGGTAACGTTAACATTGCAGCACAGTCTTCAGCAGAGCTGCATGAACAGCTGGCAGCGGTCTGGACCAGACTGTGAACTCAACGTCTGTTATTCACAATAGCCCCAGATGACACGGTGCCTTCTACAGCCCTGGGACATCCTGAATTTCTCATTGAACTCCCCAGGATTGACCTGAAAGAGCCTTCACGGTTCCTAACCATGAAGGCAGTGGGTGTCACCTGGCCGGCCCAGCAGGGATGAAGCCTGAAGCGTTTTCCAGCTGAGGATACCAGTTAAATTAGGCAGGAGATGCAGTAAAATTTCCTGAGATGTCATGGCAAACATTAATCTAGTAGCCTTGGCTTTTAGGCTTGGTGGCAGGAAATGGAATATGAAGATTTTAATTCCCTCAGGCAGAGGATGCAAATTTGTCTCCAACCTACCAGCAATTAGCTTTTCCTATAAAAAAGGGAAAAACTGCCATGTGCTCTTCTTCCTTCAACTGGTTTTAGAAGTAGCCTCTGAACAATTTTTTTCTGAGTTTGATCCTGTAGACATTCTGGGAGAATAACTGCAAATCTAAAGCAAAAAAGATAATTTCTAGAACCTGGTCACTTTACATGTGAATTAAGCACAGAGCTGGTCTGCACCCTGCAGACCTGTGGGCTGCTGAGCCTCAGCAGAGGAAGAAATTCATGCAGCTGCAATACTTGAACTCAAAACTGTAACAGGGTGCAAGGGACTGAGGGTGCTGAAGATGAAAGTTCAGATTGCTAATTCCTACTTAAACTCAGTCTGAGATACTGTTCTCACTTTTTTAATTCCTTAGCCCTTGCTCTTCAGCTGTAGAAGAGCAATTCAGAAAAAGTGATTTCTGAGTATCACATATGTAGAGGAGTGAAGGCAGATAAACCTACATGCACTTCTAAAGATGGCATATGATTTACCTAGCAGTCTTCTTTCCTCTCAGCAATAAATCAGTGACAATGCTGACAGCCAAAAAATAAGGGTTTTTTTTCTTTTTCTGTCCAGTCTGTTGGTAACACCTGGTATTCAAAATGCTTGAGGTGAAAGGACATTTCTTAAAAAATTCAGTGTTGCCTCTTCTGAAAGTAAGTGTTTCTCCTCCACCCTGAGAGAAGGGGATGTCATTAAGCAGATTTGATGAGAAAGGAAGGAAGAAAGGAAAAGATCCTTGAACTCAGCTCTTCTGCTGGCATCAGACAGTGGAGCAGTGTCAGAAACCTCTGATAGTGGAAGACCTGCCCTTTATGTACCCAGAGGAATGCAGAGATGTGTGTGCATTTTAGTGGCACTGTTTGTTATGTGTGGGTCCCTACTTTGCCAATCTTTTGCGAAGCAGTGCTTAATAGATGGAAAGCTAGCTCTTAAAAGCATCTTGTATGCCAGTAGCAGCTTTCGAAAGAGCATGCAGTGAAAATATTAATAAATCTATAGCTGTTTGATTCTAATCATTTTCACTTCAATTCACTAACTGATGAGGTGGCTGACATTCAGTAGGTCCCTCCCCAGGGAGTGACGGTTACCAAAGAACCTTATTAGCACTTGACAGGGTCATTTAAATATCATGCATTCTTTGGTGCCTAATTATGAATATTGACAAAGCTGGAAGCAGTCTACACACAATCAAAACAATGGCGGCAGAGGTGACCGCATGGTTGTTTACCATTACCATCTACTTGTGTGTTGTTACTCCTTGCCTTGCCCAGTCAGAGCCAGTTGGCTCCAAAATTATTACTGAATTGTTGTTTTAAAAGGGCAAAGGAAAGAGTTCTTACACAAAATTAAATCAGAAAATGTTATGCATACTATCCTTTTATCAAGATTTTGTTTTCACTTTTGCTGTGATTTCTTTTATCTTCACACATTCACAAAGAAAAAATATTCTTTTTTTTTTTAACATTTTCTCTTTGTTTTGCAAGGTGCTTTGTGTTGTTCTTCATTGGTTGTGTCTAATCCTTTGGACACTGTTTTCTTTCTTTTCCTGTGCTCACAAATGGCTTCTTACTGATTGTACTAATTGTACAGAATCCACTTGCTGCTTTCTTTTCTGCAACACGGGTGCTTTGATGATGTCACATACATCCATATGCTTCACTTTTAATTCAGTGCAGGCATCTTGGGGAATATCTGTGGGGGCGTGAAGAGGGGGTTCTTTAAAAGGGTTGACTCATGGGAATGTGACATTTGTGTGCCACAGCTTTAGTAGCTAAATATACTCTGGGATTGTTGTTTCTGAGCTACATCACATTTCTTGCCAAGATGAAAATGTGTAGTGCAACCCATAAGAGTGGGAACTGTGCATTGCCATCCCACTGGCATTTTCGTTTTGTCCATTAAGGAATCTGCTCTTCTTATTGCAGAACAAAAAAAAAAAAAAAAAAAAAAAAAAAAAAAAAGAAAAAAAAGAAAAAAAACATGTTCTAGAGTATGTTTACATTTTGTTTCCTTTCTTGCTGTGTTTTAGTGTTAATATAATTGTGTTTCTCACCTTCGATGAAACAGTTTCCCTAACCTCTCCATCTAACCTTCCCCCCTGCTGCCATTGTACTTGGTCTCCCTCCCTCCGCAGTTGTAAAGCTCCTCCTGTGGAGTGCTCCAAGGCTCTACCCTCTACACCCAGTAGTGTTGTAGCACTGTGTCTCTCTGTAGTCATGTTACTAACGAAGGGGGGGGAGTAGATGCGTAGCACTCATAGAGAGGCCTACATGAAGAAAACAAAGTGATTTTCTTCAGGATTAGCTGGCCTTGCCCCTCATTACACTGCTGCCCTTCTCTGCTGCCTCCTGTCCTTCCTACCTCCCTTCAGAAATGCTTCATGCTTTTCAGGTCCTTGGTTCATTAGCACAAATGCAGCCAACTGCTCAGTTTTCTCACTCGCTCCATAAATGCCTGGAGCCTGCCTTTTAATCACAGTTTTGATAAATTGGTTGCAAATTCAACTTATAATTTCATGGCTTTGCTACAGCTTCTTCTCTGCAGCGTTCAAGTGGATGTGGCTGAGCTGGGCACTGAATGATGAAAGTGTAGTGTTGCTGTTAGCAGACTTAGTGTTTGTATTCTTACTTGTCTCAACACTCATTAAGTGAAGATTATGAGGTGGTATCTCCTTTCCCTAACAAGCGTTTTGTCGATATCCATGTAACAATGGTAAAAAAATGATTAGAAATGTGATGTGATGGACACAGTTTACAGAGTTAAGAGTTGCTGGTGTATTTGGATGTTAAGAATGCTCCTGTAGATTAGTATCTATTATTTTATAGATTGTACAATATATATTATTATTAATAACTGCAGCCCTTGCTGTGGTACAGAATTAGACATCATTAGCAATAGTCAATTTGTCTGTTTGGAGAGGGCTGTGCTGTTAGGGAGCCCAAGGGCTGTTCATTTCAAAACCTGACTCCAGAAGATATTTCATATTGTACACAAGTGGCAGTGTTACTAAATTTTATTGTGATTATTGCTACTTGAAAGATTTGCCAAGTGCTGACAATGCTTGTCTCTGGAGAGTCTGCAAATGTTCAGGAAGATTCTGCTGCAGTGAGACAGAATTATATGAAACTTCAGGTACAGTTATGATAAATAGTGT